AGCTTGAGAATCAGATCTTCATTTACAAGTTGGAAATGAATGAGTACCTTTGTCTTCCCTTCTTCGCTTGGCTCAACTGCAGTTTCTTCCCTGTGATTGTTTTTTCCGAGAAACCCCCATAGTTCACTCTTCTTGAATTTTTCATTCATTGCCTCAAAATCAAATTCTTCAGTGTACTCAATGCTAGAACTAGGGATCCGAGACTGCCAACACATTTAGAACCAGAAAAAGGACCAAATTAGAAACTGTGGCATGTATTGCAAAAAAAGATACAAACAACTTTCAATAGTTAGTCAAACTTCCAAGAGAGAGACAGAGGCTAAATTATCACTGCGATTGACATCATGAATCTACGAGCCAATGTATATCATGTAGAAATTACGAGAAAACATAAGGAATAGAAATTTTAGAAAACGAAACCTGGTGAGCTGGAACTGGAAGAGGCAGCAACGGCGCTTGATATGTTCGTGATAGCACATTCGCTGATGCCTGGTTAGTTGCACCAAACATCTCCTGACCCCTATTGACCATTTGCTGCCTAGGTTGCTGTAACGGCTGCATGCCGAAGAATGACGGAGGCGAGTTCGAAAACGGACCAGGAGGTGAACCAGAAGGTACAGATCGGTTGGGATGGTTAGACCCAGCAGAGTCAAAGAAACCATTACCACCAGCCTGGGGTGCAATGGGGTAACTGTTCTGAGCATAAGGAGCAGAAAGCTGTGATGAAGCAGCAATGCCAGGTGGAGTATGGAGTTGTGCTTGACCAAGAGGAGAAGGGTTAGAATATGATGACGGATTAGGATTAGAAGCTAGGTCGGTTGGACGAGTAACAACCTGCGTTGTATCATTCACTAATCCCATGATTGGTGAAGCAAAAGCATCTATAATCTGCGGTTTGTTAAGAGGAACACCACCAGTAGAAGCTAGACTGTTTCCTTGCACAAAAGAAGGCATGGGCATAGACGGACCAACATTACTATGAGTTCCCTCAAAAGTATTAGCTGAAGGGACCGGTGAATGTTGAGTGGCAGGAACCGGTTTACTAGTCAAACCAGGTGTGTGGCCCCATTCTGCTCCTCTCCCCAAACCATAACCAGAAACCGGAGGGCTCATAGCTGGCCGAGACTGTAAATAAGGTTGCCGGCATAAGAGTCGATGAAAAATCATGCAAAGAGATAGTTTTGAACAGAGAGATATCATGACATTTTACCTGATTGATGTTCTGTTCACTTTGAATCTCCTGTCTTGGTTGTGCAGATGGAGTAGGGTTCACTTGCAGATCCTGAAAAACGCCAAAAAAACAGTACAAACTCAGAAAGACCATTACGAAATACATGATGTAGAAGAAGGTAAGAGTTTGAAGACTAACCTTGATGTCACTTCCGCGGAAAAGAATGTACTCATAAACTCTATCACATGGCGGAACTTGTGGCCCATCTTTCTTCCTCCCCTCTGTTCCACAGTTTCTTACTGCAAAAACCAATTCAATAAGTAAACATATGAGTGTTGATTTTTGCTTTTGGTCAGAGCTACCAGATTTTATACACTCTCCCACTAAATGTCAACACAAGTTTGAATTGAAACTACTTATAAGCAAATGTTCAACCTAAGACCAAATCCAGGACGCATAATCACACACAAGAAGGGAATCAGAATCACTCCAAACAAAAACAAAGCGATAGAGAGAGATACACTCAGTGTCCGGGTAACAAATACACAATCATAAGGATTGTAAATCTACGTTGGAAAAACTAGAAATAGGAAAATCCGAAAATCGAAAGAGGTTATCGAATCCGCACCGTTTTGGAGACCTAGCGTAGAGTCCTGAACATTTAGATGGCACAGAATGCCTTCGTAACGGATCTCGTACTTGGAAATTAGACTGATGAAGCTCCCTATGAACGTATCGCCGACATTGCTGCCCATCGACGGAGAAGGTAGAGATGACGGCGACGGCGAGGAAGATTGGGAACTCTCGCTCGCCATTTCGGGAGATTATCAGTGGACAACAAACGATGGAAAAACGTAGAACGAATCAGAGCGTGAAATCGATTAGGGTTCTTGCGCTTTATCTCCTGTTGTTATGTTGATTTTTGAATAATCTCTCTCTTTGGCTCGGAACCGTCATGGCTCGAGTTCGTCTCCGTCGTGGTATTGTAAAGGCGGGGAGATCTGTGTGCCGTTGGTCCATCTTTGAGAATATTTGGGCCTTTTCGAAGCCCACTTTCTTAAATTCATTTTTAATTTAAAATATAAAATCTAATGAGCGTTTTTAATCAAATTTATGGGCTTTTCTAAACCACTAAAAATGTTGGATTGAACCGGTTTACACGGAAGAGACAATTTACGATTTAGAATCTCTAGTTACTCTGATAATTTTTTTGGTAAAATACTTCCTATGATACTTATGACAATAACGTGAAAGATTGTGATGATATCAAAAGTAGCTGACACTTTAATGGAGTATGAACTTCAAGATTTCATCAACAGATGAATTTAGTTGTTTGATATTAGATCATTTGTGTTTTTATTTGTCTTTGGCTAATCACTTATATCTATTCAATTAATTGCCAATCCCGTGGGTTAGCCACTATTCAACCAGTATAGTAATGTACAGTACAGTCACTTCTCCACTTTAACAGACTGTTTATCCTTCACAATCAATTAAACCATACAATTCCAATGTAAACAATTGCTATTTATTTAAGTTATTATCAAAGATGATGATACTCTTACCTAATAACGAAAATATAATAAAGATAGATACTTTAGCAGGATGAAATTGTTAGAACCACAATTTAGACACTACAGTAAACTGAAAATTGTAAAGAATTATAAAAATAAAATACAATAATATTTTATCAAAGAACAAGAATTTGGTGATGGATTTGCAGAGGCAAGATACTATCTTTTTCCTTAACTCAAAAATCACCCCGTAGTATGCCGGTTCTATGGTGATTATAATCCCACAATACAAATGCAACAATCTTCTGATTTGTAACACTCAGTCAGAAGCCTATCGAACCTAATTTTGTGTGTACTCTCACACTCAAGAAACAAAAAAAAAGACTAAACTTGTGGTGATTGTTTTCAATGTTAAATGAATGATTTTTCTATTAAGCTCAAGAGCCTTTATATAGAAGAATAATAAGATCAAGTGATATAATTGTATGGTATTAGTATTGACCAAAACCATATCACACATATGACCACGACATTATAGCACAAAGATATTTGTTTTGACCACATTTTGAAGCAATAGTATTTCAATACATGGATTTCTTTTTTTTGTGTAAATTATATCTTAACACAAAAGATTAACTTTAATTTGGTCCATAAATAAGTTAATGGACTTGATATCCAATTAACAATTATAACCCAAACTCAAATCCAAATATCTAATATGGGCTATTTGCTAATTTTAACACTTAGCCAAATATAAAAAAGCTTTATAAGCTTTTATAAACACCCATTTATAAACTCCATTTCTCATTCAAATCAACTCTGATTTTGACATATGAATACATTATTTCATAGTGTTCATGGCGACGATTCTTTCGTGCCTAACATATGGTTTTTCCGACAAACGTCTTCACCGGAAAACCAACCGGAAAATGGCCTTAAACCATTTTGTCAAAAACGAGTTCCAACAATCCCCCACATGAATAGAAATGACTCAAACAAAAGAAGAAAAGACTCAAAAAAGGACTTTTGAGAGTACAAACGAAAAATCCACTGCATATGAGTTGGTAGCATTTTTCAGCCTTGAACCAAATCACTGTTAATAGCTATCGGGTTTACTCGACCAAGAGGTGAACATGATGTCTTGAACCTCTCGGGCTTTGATGTAAACCAAGACAACAACTATAACACAGTTTCATTCTCTCACAGAACTAGGTTCTCTATTGTGTTCATTTTGGCCATGAACATACTTGGATAATCATGAGTGAAGTTGGAGAATATAGCCTTTTATTTATTCTCCTAGAAACGGCCCCATTTCACACTCACAAGGTGATTCGCCATTAACTTTGTTTAAAGGAGTATCATGTACTACTCCATGTATATTTCAAAGTTATGGACCCAAATCATTAAAAGCTAATGCTTATCCTCTATACCATACATGTAACACTTTTATCATCCTAGGAACTGGGAAGATATAAATCTCACAGTTTTTTGGGCAGATTCAGTTTAACTTAGTTTTCCCCTTGAACCTATTTCTTGGGATCTCCAGTCATTTAGGTAGGGTTACCATCAAACATCCTCTTAAAGTCATAGGCTTTTAACCCATTCCTCTTGTTGAACCAGAGAATACCAAATCCATTATTGTGAAGTTTTTTTTTATTATTATTAAGAACAGGTATTCTCTGATGGTTCAATATTCAATCTAGAATTATTTTCTAGAATTTTTATTTCGGGAAAAATATTTTTCTCAGGAATAATGTTAATCAGCTCTTACCATTATTGGTTTATAAGAGGATTTTATTAGAGCTCAATATCCTTTTATTTGATTTATTTTATTGTCATTATTTAAATTTCAGAATTATTATTTTCAAGAACTGTTAATTATTATATTCTGGAAAATTAATTTTCGTAATATTTTAATTATTTAATTGTCTCAAAATTATTTTATATTGTTATATTGTTGTTAATTCTGGACTAAGCAACTAATTTGTTTGCCACAAAACATATTTTAATTGTTTTGGTTTACCGGTTTAATGTTGCGGTTATGTTCTCATTGTTGTACTTTCTATGTTGACTTTCTAAGAATTATTCATTAAAGTTAGCATATTTGTTTTGTCACTTGCTGTGTTCACTTAATCGTGAAGTTTGAATTCATTCTGAATTATTAATTATTTAGAATTTTATTCTGAATTTTATTTTTAATTTAATTAGTTATTGTGATTTGATTAATTGCAATATTATTCCATTGAACTTGTGACTTGGTATATTCATAAGTATATTAATTTGTTTGCTTTCTTGTGAACAGATTTGAATTCACTATGACTATTGACAACCAAGTTGGACTTGATGGGCAAAACATGGTTGCTCCCATTGATGGAACCATTGGAGGTGGTGCTCTTGGAAATGGAAATGGGTTAAGTGAGTCGACGCCCCAATTTGGGAGTGGTCAGCCACTTACAAACCCTTCAATGCCTGGCGCTGTAAGCGTAGGATTGATGCCAGAAAAGTTTGGTGGGAATGAGTTCAAAACTTGGCAACAAAAGATGCTTTTCTTTTTGACCAATTTGGCCTTGACAAGTATCTGAAAGATGATGCACCCGTTGTCCCACCAGGGAACACTGATTCAACCATTATGGATCGGTGGACCCAGTCAGACTTTCTGTGCAAGGGCTGGATTCTAAGCCGCTTGATAGACCCATTGTACAATGTGTACTGTGAGGCGAAAACCTCCAAGCAACTTTGGTTGGCCTTGGAGAAGAAGTATAAGTCCGAGGATGCTGGCTGTCAGAAATACGCTACGGCGAAATTTCTCAACTTCAAAATGGTGGATTCAAAACCCATCATGGAACAAGTTGAAGCCTTGCAATTGATTACGCATGAGATAGCGGCTGAGGGTATGTCGATTTGTGAAATTTTCACTGTCAATTCCTTCATTGAGAAGCTTCCTCCAGGGTGGATGGACTTCAAAAACTATCTCACTCACAAGCGTAAGGCAATTACCCTCGAGACTTAATTGTCAAGCTGCGGGTTGAATCCCGAAACCGCGAAGCCGATGCTGTTTTCATTCGTGCGAATGATGTGAACTTGGCTGAGCAAAAGAGAAATGGGAAAGGACAAATTCCTCCACACTCCTCCACAAGCTTCAAGAAGCAAGCTGAACCAAAGAAGTTCAAATGGAAGTGCCACAAGTGTGGCAAGATGGGCCACAAAGCTAATGTTTGCGTAGCAAAGCTGGTCCAAGTGAAGACAAAGGGAAGTCTCAGGCTCACCTCACAGAAGATGACTTGTGTGCTGTGGTCACTGAAGTCAACAATGTTGAGGACAACCCAAGGGAGTGGTGGTACGACACAGGTGCCACTATCCACATCTGCAATGATAGGGACATGTTTAGTACCTATCAGAAATGCAACAATGGAGAACGCCTATTGATGGGAAACACTGGTTCTTCCAAGATTGAGGGTCATGGCAAAGTGGTGCTGAAGATGACCTCAGGAAAGGAGATCACTCTCCAAAATCTGATTTCTGGTACTCTTATGAGTAAGGCCGGATTTGCTACCAATTTCGAGTCTGACAAGCTTGTGCTCAAGAAACATGGAGTTTATTTGGGAAAGGGGTATGTTAAGGATGGACTTGTCAAAATGTGTGTCATGCCAGTCATCCGAAACTGAGTTGTAACTCCTAAGAATAATGTTGTTTCTGTTTTTTTTTCAATCAATAAGAATAATGTTGTTTCTTTTTTTTATTAAGTCTTTTCTATATTTGTTATGAATGGTTAAGGCATGAAATTATATATCTATAAGAGATTGTTTAATTCATACTTATTTCCAAAATGCAAATCAAGTAAAGAGAAATGTGGGGGAAAAGCATTGCTTACCACATAAAGTCATTTAACAAAATGTTTTATGAACTTTGAGAAAAGGGGCCAAGTACATTTGTACAATACCTTGAAAATGTGGGGGTACATGGAAAAATTGAAATGCTACCTCCTAAATATTTAAAAACAATTAATCTCAAAATGAAATAATCTTTATAGATTATATTCAAGTAAATGACAACCTAGGATCCAAATATTAAAGGTGTGTCATGAGATCAAGTTGTAAAATCATCAAGAGGAATGGGTTAAAAGCCTATGACTTAAGAGGATGTTTGATGGTAACCCTACCTAAATGACTGGAGATCCCAAGAAATAGGTTCAAGGGGAAAACTAAGTTAAACTGAATCTGCCCAAAAACACTGTGAGATTTATATCTCTTCCCAGTTCCTAGGATGATAAACAGTGTTACATGTATGGTATAGAGGATAAGCATTAGCTTTTAATGATTTGGGTCCATAACTTTGAAATATACATGGAGTAGTACATGATACTCCTTTAAACAAAGTTAATGGCGAATCACCTTGTGAGTGTGAAATGGGGCCGTTTCTAGGAGAATAAATAAAAGGCTATATTCTCCAACTTCACTCATGATTATCCAAGTATGTTCATGGCCAAAATGAACACAATAGAGAACCTAGTTCTGTGAGAGAATGAAACTGTGTTATAGTTGTTGTCTTGGTTTACATCAAAGCCCGAGAGGTTCAAGACATCATGTTCACCTCTTGGTCGAGTAAACCCGATAGCTATTAACAGTGATTTGGTTCAAGGCTGAAAAATGCTACCAACTCATATGCAGTGGATTTTTCGTTTATACTCTCAAAAGTCCTTTTTGAGTCTTTTCTTCTTTTGTTTAGATCATTTCTATTCATGTGGGGGATTGTTGGAACTCGTTTTTGACAAAATGGTTTAAGGCCATTTTCCGGTTGGTTTTCCGGTGAAGACGTTTGTCGGAAAAACCATATGTTAGGCACGAAAGAATCGTCGCCATAAACACTATGAAATAGTATATTCATATGTCAAAATCAGAGTTGATTTGAATGAGAAATGGAGTTTATAAATGGGTGTTTATAAAAGCTTATAAAGCTTTTTATATTTGGCTAAGTGTTAAAATTAGCAAATAGCCCATATTAGATATTTGGATTTGAGTTTGGGTTATAATTGTTAATTGGATATCAAGTCCATTAACTTATTATAATGAACCAAATTAAAGTTAATCTTTTGTGTTAAGATTAATTTACACAAAAAAGAAATCCATATACTAAAATATTATTGCTTTAAATTTGATCAAAGCAAAATATCTTAGTCTATTAATGTCGTGGTCAAAGTCATATTGTGACTTAATAATATTATTGCGTTATGATTTGCTCCATTATGTTGTGATATGTTTTTGGTCAATACGAAGACCATACAATTATGTCACTTGATCTCATTCTTTTCTATATAAAGGCTCTTGAGCTTCATAGAAAAATCATTCATTCAACATAGAAAACAATCCACAAGTTTAGTCTCTTTTATTTTTTTTTCTTTTTCTTGAGTCTAAGAGTACATACAAAATTAGGTTTGATAGGCTTTTGATTGAGTGTTGCCAATGAGAAGATTGTTGCAGTTGTATCTTGGGACTCTAATCAGCATAGAACCGGAACACTACGGGTGATTTTTGAGTTAAGAAAAAAGATAGTATCTTGCCTCTGCAAATCCATCACCAAATTCTTGTTCTTTGGTAAAATATTATTGTATTTTATTTATGTAATTTTTTACAATTTTCAGTTTATTGTAGTGTCTAAATTGTGGTTCTAACAGTCTTAACTCAAAAATTCGTTTATTGCTTTATTTGCACTAACCGGACTGATTATTGTGAAGTTTTATTTTT